TGCCAAGCTTCCAGGAATTCCCTAGCATTTTTTGGATTTAGCTTGGTCTAGGATGCTCACAATTTCCCAGTTGAAACTGTGCTTGAGTTGTGAGATTCAGGAGTTTTCACATGTCTTCTGACTCCTAGTTAGTGTTCATGGATGCGACTTGCTAGTCTTCTGCCTGTCTGTCCTACATAGTGGTTGTTAAAATCCTTACACTGTATGTTGTAGATGACTCCTGTTTTTTCTTCTTGGGCTACTGGGTCTTTTGGTTTGCTTAAGATGTTTTGGAGGGCTTTAGTTGGTTTGTGTGTTACAGTGATGATGTGTGTTTTGTAATAGTCTGTTGATAGTTTCTGAGATGTTTTCGATGTGTGGCAGTGTTATCCTTTTCATAGCTTGTGTTGGTTGTGCTGTAGTGGGTTGCGTGGTCAGGCACTTTTTGATAAAGTTGCGCGGGTGTCCATTTTGTTGGAAGATGTTGTATGGGTGCTCCGTTTCCTTCTTCTGCTGCTCTGGGTTGCTGCGGTGTGTACTCATCTGAATAATGTTCTTACACAGCTCCTTTGGGGGAGGTTGGTTGTTACTTTAGTAATGGAGCACTTGGTTAGCGTGGGTTATATTTCTATAGACTTGTGTTTCTAATTTGCCGTCGTTTCCTCTGCTGATGAGGATTTCCAGGAAGGGTAGTGTGTTGCTGTTTTCTTCTTCCCTTGTGAATTTTATTCCTTTGAAGATGTTGATTGTTTCATGTGCCTTCCTTCCGTAGTTGTTCCTTTTTTATAACAAAGTGTCATCTACATAACCGATCCATACTTTTGGTTGTATGCGTGGAAGTGCTAGTTTCTAGATGCTGCATTACAATCTCTGCTCTGAGTCCTGACAGTGTGATCCCACGGGTGTGCCTCTGATTTGTTGGTATATTTGTCCATCACACTGAAAATAGGCAGCGAGGCAGAGGTTGATGAGATTCTGGGTCTTTTGAACTTGGGGTATTTGGCTAGGCCGCGTGTGTTGTGTAGTACTGCTACTATGGATTCTTTTGCTCTTTCTGGATCTATGGATGCAAAGAGTGCCGTGACATGAAAGAAACCATAATGTCATCTTCATCTATTTTCAGGTCTTTGGTTTTCTGAAGGCACTGTGGTGGGGAGTTGATAGAATATTCGTTCCCCTCTGTGAGATGTCCAAGCTTTTTTGTAAGGGCTTTCACCACGTTGTAAGTTGGGGTCCCTGGTAATTTAAGTCATTTAATTTAGGTGTTATTGAATTTAAGCGGTAACAATTTGTTTACAACCACAATAGTTTCCTTTACTCCCTCGCCGCTGTGGTTGGAAAGAAAAAGGAAGACCGAACAATGCCTCAAGCCCCCGAGCCAAAAAGCAGAACAGAAATCTAGCCAAAAAACAACCCTTTGCTCGTCTGTCCACGTGGAGAGGCCGCGCATCGCAAGAGAAAACGTTTGTTTTTTCAGCTGAGCGCATCCGGCAAGGGAATCCCCTGAGCAAAAGATGCGGGTCTTGCCCGTTTAAGGGAAGGAAGCGTGTTTACGGTCAGGAGAGGCGGAAGGGGCGGCGCTTTGTTCAAATCTTGCCTGCAGGGCGGACGCCGTTTCGGGCTCCGGAGGACGAGGCGTTTCTCACGCGCCGGGAAGGTTCGGCCAGACCCAGGCAGGTATCGGTGCGCGTGAGGATATGCACGCGTCCGCGATCCCTTTCTCCGCTTCCTTTTTTCCCCTTCTTTCCTTCCTCCTTCTTTCTCTCCCCCTTTCTCTTTCTTCCTTCCTTCCATCCTTCCATTTTCTTTCCTTCCTTCCTTAGTTTCTGTTGCATAAAAAAAAAAAAGTCGCCAACTCTCTTCATTCCGGTGTTGCAATGAAGAACTGCGCCTCGTGCAGCTGGATTTCCGGTGTCTTGTGTCTCAATAAACCCTCCTTGCCCGCGGGAGTAGTAAAGGCATAGTAGAGGAGCTACGGCTCCAAATGCCCCTTTAGGATGAAGGGCACGAAGGAAAAAACAGCGGTACTTTCCGTCCAAGGGCACCCTTGTCGCTCCCTGTGCGCTTTTCTTACCGCGGTTGCCCACCGGCCGGGAAAATCTGCCCGATCTCTGACTTCACCGCGTTTCTAACGCAGGGTCAGCTGATCCTCTTTATCTCCGTGGCATGGAAAGTTTCACAGGCTGGTTTCTGCGATTAAATAGCTGTGAATGTCCGTGATGAGGAGGCGGTTTGAAAACCGGCGGCGTGTATTTTCCTGACCTCAAGGTGATCCTTCTAAAGCACTGTTTCTCAACCTTAGCAAGACGTGTGGACTTCAACCCCCAGAATTC